CTTCAGTAGCAAAAATAAAAAGTTTCAAGAAGGCAAGTAATGGAGAAAAAATTACAGAGTTAAAGAAAAAGAAAAGTAGTTCAGATTTTGAATTATCGGATATTTCTTGTGAGTCTGAGGAGTTTGAGAGTGAAACAAATAAAGTAAAAGATGTAAAAATGGAATTGTATAGCAGAGTGAACAAAATGGTAGCAGACATTTATGTAGAAACCGAACACAATGATTTCAGTAGTGGCCATAGTATATCCACAAGTGGCTCGGATTATGGACAAAAAAGGGAGAATAATCCAGGTGCCTCAGATAGTGAAGAGAAAGGGGAAACGCATGCAGGTTCCTTGGATAATGGGGAGAAAATTAGAAAGAATCCAGGTTCCTCAGATAATGGGGAGATAAGGAAAAAGAATCCAGGTTTCTCGGATAATGGGGAGATAAGGAAAAAGAAATCTTGGTCCTCAGATAATGGGGAGAAAAGGAAAAAGAATCCAGGTTCCTCAGATATTGGGGAGAAAAGGGAATATAAAGCAGGTTTTTCAAATAATAGGGAAGAAAGGAAGAAGAGTGCTGGTACCTCAGAAAATGGGGCAAAAAAGAAAAAGAATCCATGTGCCTCCGATAATAGGCAGAAGAGAAAAAAGAATATTATTTCATCAGGCAGTGATTCTGAAGGTCACAGTAAGCGATACAAACTTGAGACTGGTGACACTAACAGTATCGCTGCCCCAAAGTTCAAAAGAAAAACACAGAAAGCCGCAGCTTTAGTTAGAACACAAGAGTCTGCATCAGAAAAGACTCATCAAGTATATGGATGTGTGAGGTCGGATGAGCCTGTGCAGAAAGTTTCTCATTCAACTTTAAGTAAGTTGAAACAGTTTGTATTCACAGGCTCCGACAGGAGTGCTGGAGAGAAGGAGAGGCAAGATGGAGACATCTCTACAGCCAACAGTGTTTCAGTAACTGGGGAAGTGAATGCCATCATTAGCAGCAGGAATGTCTGCCTTCTTCCTACAAAAGATGGGAGAAAGGCAACAGAGGTACTGGATGGTAGCAGCGGTCAGAAGCATTTGGAGAATTTGACAGATCTGGTGATCTCCGGCAATGATGCAGATATTTCCATGGATACATTATTGACAGGCACATTGTTTAAAACAGCTGAAAGTGTCAATGGAGACGTGGAATGTGCTGACTTGAGTCCTGTGGTGGATATTTCCATTTTAAATCAGCATGGGGATTGGGTATCTGAGGGAAAACAAAGTGGAGTTTACATAAACAAGGTTGTAACTGAAGAGACACAAGGTGGAGTTCAAATAACAGCTCCAGGATTTACCTGCAGAGCTTCTAGTCTTTGCTCAGATTTGCGAAAACCTAGAACTCAATGTTCAACAAAACTCAGAAATGAGATCAGTGATCTTTTCCCAAAGAAAACTGTCTCTGATTCGCACTCATCTGTTAACATGTTTCAGACAAGTTTTAATTTGTTTTCTCAAGATGATAAGCCAGATTCACCTACAGGCACTGAGTGTGCCAGTGACGTTTTATCTCAGAGATCAGGAGTTTCAAATCAATCCCAGCCAGGTTCAGATAAACAACAGTTTAAACGGTTCACTTTCACAAAGTTAAAATCAAACAGAAATGTTGCATCTACAGAAACCATAGCTACATTAAACAAAGTAACAGACTTTCTTCTCCAAAGTCAAAGCAGCTGTGGTACACAAAGCAGCCCAGTTGTGATGTCTGTTCCTTTCATGGGCCTGGGAGCCAGCCCAACAGCAGAAGACAGAAATCAACAAAGAAGTTCCCAGGTCGGCAGCCGCCATCCTGATTCTAGCTCCCAGTTTTGGAGACAGAAAACTGTTGCACCAGCATTGTACCAGACAGCAACAACAACCATGCAGGATAGATCCAGAATGAGTGGCCAAGCATTGCAAGCTTGTGAATCTACATCGTCGTTGACTGCGTGTAAAGATATTGTAACATCAAGTCTTTGTCAGTCTACATCATCATTGACATCTTGTAGAGACACTTTATCATCAAGGCTTTGTCCATCCACATCACCATTAACTGCTTGTAAAGACACTTTATCACCGAGAGTTTATCAGCATGCAGCATCTTCAACACTACATCATCAAGTGGCCAGAGATACTGGTTCAAGCATGTCTTCAGGGAAGCAAGATGAACAGACATCCCAGGAGCTTGCCCAGGGTAAGCTGGCAAGTTTGCACAAGTTCAGCTCATCATTCTCCAAGGGCAGCACACCAGCATGGTTGACCAAGCTGAACAGCAGCAAACCTTCATCTCCATCTTGTGTGACCAAGTCAATGGCCCAACATACTCTTCTGGATGAAGATCTTGACAGTCTGCTAAATACAGACTTATGATAATTCCTTAACTGTATTAATGGCTTGAATCTTTCACTTAGTCTGCACTTGTATCACATTATACGTCTAGACTCTCATCTACATCTACCTGGGGCATATAGGTTTTACACAAATTCCAGGGCTGTAGAATTTTTACACTTATCCAATATCCCTGGAATGTAAATGATTTACACTTATTTTGAAGATAGAATCATGTGCCACTTGCAGTTTTGTTTATTGATTTCTTCGTCGCGTTCACCGGCTATAAACTCCAGCAGAAAGTTCTTGGTGTTTGTCAACCTCCAGACAATAGTCTTGAGGCAGTGGGTCTATTCTTTGGAACTTGTTATGATGTTCAGCCCAAACAAACAGCATAATTGGGCTCTCATTCATGCTTTCTCACCTGTGACACAGGCTAGTCTATGTTAGAGGGGTGTCCCATTGTCTTGTGTTCGTGAAGAGCTTTCTATATTATGTAGTGTGGGCAGGGAGCTACGCAGTATGTTTTACTCACTGTTACAAGCGGGCGGCAACATTGCGTATATTATGGAGTTCAGGTAAAAATGAATTTAGTTCAGCTGTCTGTAATTACAAGCGACAAGGAGAAGAGCGTTGTTTTTCTGCAGCAAGATGAAGTTGTGGGTTAGGGGGTTGGGGTTAGGTGTAGTATAGAACATGCTACATCGGGGCTGATAGCATAGGAGACAAGACGTGACACCCCTGTAACATAGACTGGCCCATGTCACAGGTCAGAAAGCATGAATGTAAGGTCAGTGTTTATTTGGACCGGGAATCTTATTAAGAACTTATTCTTGTTTTACCCCAAAACAGGAAGTTTACTGACCTGAATGTGATGATCGTGCAGCCTGGTTTACCACCTTTTTTTTTAGTTTAGCCACAAATCTTGGGAGAATTCATTACCCCCGTGTTCCTGCCGATTTTCCTTCCAGTTTTGCTCACAGATAAGAACAACTTTGAGTTTCCTGAAAAGGATCTATGTCTCAGAGTATTTTCAGCTTGTTGAAATAGGCCACTTTTCTCCTGCATTTGACCTTAAAAGGTCAGGTGGAATGTTGTGTTGCAGTTTACAGCAAGGCTGTGATATCAGCCTTTCAGCCCAACCCATAATGTCACCTTTTACATGCTGGCGGGAAAAGGGCTGTGGAAACCTACATGTTGGGATTTACTAAACTGAATAATGACCTTTAACCAAATACCTTAGACAACCACAGTGAAGAAACATAAAGAGCATAGATTCTATCTTCCCTGGTAGGAAATCTGTTTCTAGATGACTGTGGCAGTAAGGCTTGACCAGTCTGAGGCCTAGATGTAGTGCGGCAGCTCAGATCCCTCCCGAACACACTTTTTCCCCACACTATAAATAGCTTTGAGGTCTCTATGCCCAAAGTAAGGAACAATTGTTTGTTTGTTTTAGTATCCAGAAGCCATGAGTTGTTAACCCTTAGGCTCGGTATTATGGATATCGCAACCTTTTGGCCTTGATTCCATTGTAAATACCGTAGATCTGAAAGAAATGTGGCACATCCATTCACAGGTCTAGCTTATTTGTAAGCATACTATTGATTCCTTGCCCCTCAGACAGATGCACTTCACCTTCGAAGGGAACACCCCTAATTAGTCATTTTGTACAATGTACTTGTTAGGTAGTCAATGGGTCTTTTTTCTCTTCTCCCCACCAGAGCCATGAAACCGATAAAAAATCCTAGCGGTTAAAAATAGAGGAACATTTTTAACTGACCTGGCCTCCCATGTCCACCCAACTACTTACAATGGCTACCAGGAAATACTGCAGGATATCAAGGTGGTTTGATCCTGACCACACTGAAGGTGGGCCGTGTTAGCGCAGTCGATAGTAAGCTCGCTTTCAAATCCAGCTGCCTCTCGCTGCAGCCACAGTCAGTGTTCGAAACCGGGCGGTTCCCGAGGTTCACCCAGCCTCTAGGAAATGGGTACCAGGGTTGACACTCTGTGGTAAATGGAGGAAAGTCGCTGTAGCTACAGAGTTACGTGCGGATGGCGACACAGTTGGACAATTCTTATCAGCTGTCCGTACTGGTGGCAGAGCAATTATGATTTCTAACCGTGTGCAGTGACACTGGTTCACATCTGCCGACTTTACCTTTTTAACTAAGGTTCAACATTGAGCAGATTTCATGCTTTTAGAAATAAGTGTAGTAATTGTATGTCTAATTTTTTTTAAATTTCAACAAATCAGATTGATTCAGATGTTTTTAATTTATTTTATTATAATTTACAGAACAACACTGCTGTCTCTCACAGAACAACAACAACAAATGTCCACCGTGCAGTGTCCAAGATATGTTGACACTACTTGATCTACAATGTCCACTGACATTCTGAAAGCCTACAAGTCCTCTCTGTGTGTCTATTTTACAGCACAAACACACGGTTGCTTTCACTCCAAGCTCACGCTGAAAGATGTAACAAACTAAAACATCACTACCTCAAATCCAAACAATCTAGTTCCCACACAGATCAGAGACAATCTAGCACAAACAAACCTGCCAAAACAGGGGTAGAGAGACAGACACTGGCCTACAGAGACAGACACAGCTCTGCTGGTTTTATTGTACAAAACATTATGAGATCATATTTTTTTTGTTACTACAAAAACTGGACTCCAATCCCAAACTGTAATCCTGGGTTGGCTCTGAAAGATAAAAAAAAAACAGCAATATTTAATTATCTTCATTTTGCAAAGGGATAATCATCTATAACGTGCTACTATAGTTTTTACTACAGTGTGGTGACACACAATTGTAACTGGTAATCAATTACAACTAACTAGTGTGTACTGTAGGATGTCCAGACCAATATGTTGGATAGGCAGGCAGGCCGTGCGATGGGATTTATTCCTCACAGGTGGACTTGAAGTACATAGTTGTGCCCCAGCCAGCTACTCAAGTGAGTACATAGTGTGACAATGAATCTCACAAGGAATGCTTTTTGTTTGTGCCCAGGTTAGTCTGTTTTGAACCACATATTCAGGAAATGGTGGGTGGGTGAAAGTCTTAAGCAGGAATGCATGTGGCAACTGCTTGTTTGTCATAACTCTTGTTTCCACCAATGTTGAACTGCAGTTCTGGTAGTGGACTGCAAATGTTGGCACTCTGGTAGCATTTAGTGCATGAGCATGCTGTTGACTTTGCTAAACCTGATAAGAACTCCCCAAAGACCCAAGAAATTGTTATTTTTATCAGCAATTCCTTTTATCCAGACAAAAGTCAAACAAGACAAATTGCCAAGGATAATAAATTGTTCTTCATGACATAAACTCGCCACATCTGAGATGGCCTCAAGCAGTCTACATTGTATTCAGTTTTTCCACAAGGGTTTGTGGTCATCTTCCCTATCATAGGTTAGGTTAGTTGCATACCCTTTTCAGGACGTTGCAGAACCAGCCCCTGGCTGTTGTGTGGTTTTTCTAGGCAAATTTACATCCAGTAGTTTGCCACTGCTTTCTGGACAGTCGGCTTTCTTAATACCATTTTCGAAACCAAAGCAAGGCACATGGCCCGCAGCTGGTATCGAACCCGGCATTACGAAGCGCGTGCATCCCTATCATAGGAATGGAGCAATTATTGTGTGACTTGTCTGCAACTAAAGACTACTATACGATTTAACCTCATGTTGATGTAATCATTTACAACATACCACTGTAGGCTCTGAGTTGGAAATAAGTGTACTGTCCATGACCCTCAACTCTTTGAAGACTAGTCGCCAGTTAACTGGCTTTAACTCCTTATCGGACTGGCATATCATAGAGACACTCTCATTTTGTTTTGTTTATGAACAAGTTTTTTGGAAAATTAGAATTAATAACAGGAATTCCTTTCATTTGCAATTTTCCCCATGGCTTTTGCGTCATTTTCTGATTTTTTTTTTTTTTTTATAAATTACTCAGATGGGATAAAAAAAAAATTACACAATTTTTCTATACTAAATGATTAGGAAAAATTACTAGAACTGTTCATACTGCTCTGTCGTTGATGAATCTCTGCCAGATGGTGACAACAGTCTTGATAATATGATTGATATATAAGTGGCAAACCTATTGGCGATAATTTAGTTTAGGATATGAAAAGTTAACCAAATATTTCAATCGGATCAATGTTTTGATCAGCTGTTTTCCTGATTTTCGGTTGTGAAATTTGACATGTTATACAAAAATGATTATAACATCAAAAGTATTTAAATTAACTGTTTCAAATAAAGACTAGCTGATACATAATTGAACAGAGAAGGCATATGCATTCTTAGAATTGTATAGCAGTGTTGTTGAACAAGTAAAAAAACTAATGTACGCACACAATTTTATATGTAAATAATCTTCATATGTGTCTAACATCCTTGAATGTTGTGTGATTTTAATAATATTTTGTTGTAATACTGACGTATTTATTAAGCACTCACTTATCTTTAATTTGATATACTATATGTCCGGATACAACCAATACTTTTTATTCAGGAAGGTTTTAGCTTTGTTGCTTTGCAGTTAAAAAAATTCTGCTCAAAATTAATGCTGCCTAAACTCCAGAAATAAAATGTGGTCCTGAAAGAGTTAATGTGTAGATAACAATACCTTGAGACCCCTAATCTAGCCATAACACTTCCTTGACCCCTAATCTGGCTATAACACTTCCTTGACCCCTAATCTGGCTATAACACTTCCTTGACCCCTAATCTGTTAACAACACTACCATGACCCCTAAATCTGGCCATAACACTACCATGACCCCAAATCTGACAATGACACTACTATACCCTAATGACTTTGACAGTTTCAGAGTTGTGTGATACCCTAAAGACTCACTTGTCTCCCTTCTGCACTCTCATGGGTATGACATAGTTCAGCTCCAGCCGAGCCAGGTTTCCCATGCACAGCACAATGCCAAAACCATAGGACCACCTCAGGGTAGTAAACATGTCATTGAATGATGCCGACAAGTTGTCTGAAACAAGAAATAAAAACTGCTGAGTTGAGTTGATTCAAGAATCAACATCACAGCACTTGTATCGTTCCCATAAGCGCTCTGTCCCCATCTTCAGTGGCCTGCACAGAGTTCCAATACCAATCAAGCCCTATTATACGTCCCTCTTACCTGTCTAAAGATTGTTAAAGACAGGCTATGGGACCAAGCAGCTTACATAAATTTCAACTGATTGGCACAGGAAACATTTTTAAAAAGAGGGGGTGGGGCCGTGAACCTTTGAACGCCCCTCCGCCCCACTACCACCACACGTGACCTTTAAAAAAATATTTTTAGGAACACACCAGGTGAAGTAATCAATGAACACAGTGTGACAAAATTAACTGGATTTCTTTCTCCTGTGCCTTCAAATGTACTGGGTGATTCATATGTGACCCTGCCAAAATTCTAACACTAAGGCCACAGGCAAATTATGACATCCATGATATTTTCTAGTTAATATATTCATATCCTGACCTCCTAATTGATGTGCAAACATAACTAATGGTGTTAAGAAGCATTTACAGGACAGCCAATGCCAGATATGCCAAGTTTGCAGCTTCTTGTGGTGAAAGAGTTGATGCCAAGTTTGCAGCTGTCTGAGCAACAAACACAGATTGTGAGAACCAGCACGTTGCACCAAATTTATTTAAAATGGTTTGGTCATCTTGTTAGAATGCAGCTGCAACTACAGCCCAGATGCTACGCCTAAGAGTAGGAGGATAACCATAATAACACCAGAAATATTTCCAAAATATTTTTCTATGTTGTAAGCACTACATAGTTTGCATACAAGTAAGCCAGATGTGCACCTGAAATTCAAATTTTGGAACAAGATTGAAATTAGAAGAGGATGAATCCCAGAATTTTCTGCCAGAGTCTACAGCTCATGAACGCTACAAAGAAGATAATGACGGTGAACACCAAAAGTTGTGATTAAAGTAGATAGATGTAACTGTAGGCCAATTGATTAACATGTGATTGCGATTAGAGTAGCCAGATGTAACTGTAGGCCAATTGATTAACATGTGATTGCGATTAAAGTAGCCAGATGTAACTGTAGGCCAATTGATTAACATGTGATCATGGTAGTCAGTGGTTTTTTTTTTAATGCACATATCCCGAAAATGCAAGTAATTAGTACAGTTTTCCCTCGAAGTGGGAGTACATCTGCCCATGAGGCAGGGAACAACAAAACGGTTGTACACGCAAAACTCAGGTCCAGGTAAAAGCCAAAAGTCCAAGCGGACGATTAACCGGGACCTTCCGCCGGAATTCACAGCCGGTGAACGAAGAAGAAGAAGAAGTACAGTAACCTAAAATATATTAAACCTGCAACTAAACTGTGTTCGTTTTTACTGCATTACTAACTATGTATGTATTATTATACATTCTACAAGATTATTAAGTACTTTGCAAATGAAACATCTTATTACTAACTCTACGACACAGGTTATGAAACATACGATAATAAATAAGCAAATAATAAGTAACTCACTGAAATCGATGGTGCCCAGGTTGCCTGCATTGACAAAGAAGTGTGTCTTGAAGAGATCTCCGAACCTGCCACGTCCAGGGCGGAAGGGAAGTGGGCTGTACACGTGTGCTGCTGCTAGCCAGTAGGACTCTGCACCCAGGGCATTGTCTAGCAATGTAAAACATCAGTGTTACAGAAAAACTGGCAGTGTAAAACAGAAGTATAACAGAAAACTAACAATGTATAAAACATCTTTATAACAGAAAACTAACAATGTAATGTATAATACATCAGTATAACAGAAAAAAAAACAATGTATAAAACAGAAGTATAACAGAAAACTAACAATGTATAAAACATCTTTATAACAGAAAACTAACAATGTAATGTATAATACATCAGTATAACAGAAAAAAAAACAATGTATAAAACATAAGTATAATAGAAAACTAATAATGTGTAAAACATCAGTATAACAGAAAACTAACAATGTATAAAACATCAGTATAACCGAAAAAAAAACAATGTATAAAACATAAGTATAACAGAAAACTAACAATGTATAAAACATCAGTATAACAGAAAACTAAGAATGTAAAGTATCATTATATAAGACAGTAAGGAGTGTAAAACATCAGTATAACTAGTAGTTTAAAACATCAGTGTAATAAACATGTTATGACAATCTTCACTGGTGCAAAATATCAACATTAACGCATACAAAACAAACAGTGTAAAAATGTGTAATACAAAATAACAGTGCAAAACATCTGTGTACAGTTTGAGTCTGGATAAGTAGAAGTCGCAGGGACGTGACAAAATGCTTCCACTTATCAGGACTTCTACTTATCCAGACAGCACACACAATAGAGAAAATTGCCAGGACTAAGCTGGTTGTGTCGACTTAACCGAAATTCGACTTATCCAAGTTCGACTTTAGTGGACTCGACTGTATTACAAAAAAAGTAATGTAGTTTAAAAAACATCAGTGTAGTAAACATGTTATAACAATTATCTCTGGTGTAAACAATTAATGTCGGCGTCTTGGCTTAGGCATTGTAGACGCGCCTCGTAATGCTGGGTCCCATCCCAGCTGCGGACGGTTTGTCTTGCATTGGTTGTGACAGTGGTACTGAGAGCTGACCGATCAGAAGCAATGGCAAACTACTGAACATAAAATTTGCCTAGAAAAACCACAACAGCCAACAAATGTAAAGGATTCACAACCAACTTTTTTTAAGCAATCAATATAGCAAAAACACACACAAAATCAGTATCTTAAAACATCAGTGTAATAAAAAAAAAAAAAAAAAGACAAAATTCTGCAGACACAAAGACATAATTTCTTCATTATTGTCAACAGACATAAAATTACATTATTCAGCTCGAGGGTTGGCCACTGAGGTTGTGGGAACAGCTCCCACACTGCCAAAGACAAAGCATCACTGCAACACGATGCAGCCTAGTCACAAATCCACAGCAAAGCTAATATTTACAGAACTGTCATGTCTGCACCAGTGGTGGTCATAGTTACAATTGACAAACTGTAAGAGGTAGCCTGCAGCGGCCTGCCTTTTTTATTTTTGTTTCTGAGGTCCACTTTCTTTAGTGGTCTGCCTCTTTATGACTCTTATCTCTAATTTGTGGACAAATTATCCTTAGTGCACATAGAACCATTCAGTCCATAAGCGCTCGGATCCCCTCCTCAGCCCTGCAGCGTGTAGAGGCTGACGACACCACTTCTGTGCTAGTTTCTTAGTCTTGGTATCCTGAAAAGTGCTCCGGTCTGGCCAAACCCCTTTTAACATGCTGTTCTTGCTGTTTGGTCATGGTTGCAGATTCACAGCCTATATCTATAGTCTGTCAATAATTCTTCTTTTTCTGCCTTTCTATCCCCCAATGGAGCATAGGCCCTCAATCAACTCATGCAAAGTTGTTCTATCCTTTGCCATTACATGGAGCTCTCCCCATGTCCTCCCTATCTTTCTAACTTCATTCTCCAGCTCTCTTCTCCATGTGTTTTTTGGCCTTACTTTATTCCTATGGCACTGTGGGTTCCAATGTAAAGACATTCTAGTTATGCTGTTCTCCTGTTTTCTCAGTTGTCAATAATTACTCAAATCAAAATTAGTCCTAAAACCTAACAAAATTATATTATGTAATCTGAAAGGCTCTATTAAAACATGGGCGCTCAGATCTCCCCCCCCCCCCCCCCATATAAACATCAGCATCCTGTGGTTACTAGTGGCAGACCTGTGCTAGTTATCAAGTGTACGTCCAGTGTTCCTCTTATGCCCTGCCTGGCTGTGTCCATTTGTATCCCAGTTCCCATATTGTTAACAGCGATGTGGACACGCTGCTCCCACATTCCTCTGTTCCTGTCATCTCCCTAAGGGTATTAACAACCTCAGTGTGACCCAAAAGGCCGGCCATCTGAATCTAATGCAGAACCGGCCAATCTAACAGCTCTTTCATTGTCAAGAGCATTCACATCACCTGGGACGAGGATGGTAACTCGGTGCAGTCAAGTTTCAATCCACAGTCTGCATACACAGACCACCTTGATCCACCGTATCATGCTGACAGAATCACTTAGCATACATATCTGGGAATAGCCCTTTAATTCCAGCCACACAAAAGCTTGTGTCATCCCCATCACTTGCATCGTCATGCCACTGGTAGTATACAGAAGGCACTACTGATATCCTACAAATCTGCCTATAGAGGGAGCTGTGAATGTCCATTTTACCCTCGTACAATGGACCAATCTGTGTAGATCAGCACACTTGCCTAATCTGAACTGTCACTGATGGTGGTCCTTGGAACCTTGGCTAAAATGAACAGGTAGCACCATGAGGAATGTGAGAGCTGACTTTGTCGCCCATCTTGAACATGTGGAGTTGAAGTTATACATTTACACATTAATTTCATAACTAATGTTATTGACATAATCCCTTACCGTGGCTGTGAGGCCCACAACCTTTCATATTGAAGCCCCTTAGAGTCAGGGGGCCCCCAAGGAAGAACCTATCACTGATACAAATAGATGCTCGGGGGTCCAGTGTTCTCATAATGCCTCCGGCGAAGGAGACTTGAAATATCTGTCATGTGTGGATATAAGACAAAAACATCCGATCATCAAGGACTGACATTCACCCACATTGTTATTTTCTTCAACATCTGGCACCTTACCATATATTATTTACATACCATCAGCACAGTAAAATGCTCAAAACGTACCTTCTTTAAAAGGTATTTCAAGGCAGGAAGAGTAATTTCATCTCACCATCTGTTGTCCCATGTGATGCAGTCTCTCAGACAGCAGCTGTAAGAACTCTGCAGCACTAGCAGTGACAACCCCCCCCCCTCCCCCCCCCCCAGAGACATCCAAAACACCTGCACTAATAAACTCAACAACAAAGTGCAAACCCAAATATGTGACTTTCAGAGCTCTATGCAAACACTTTATTCATTTCACTATGGACACATACTCTCTACACACCCAAACAGCTGAACTACTTCACCACAGAGACATTCTGTCTACACATCCAAACAGCTGAACTACCTCACCACAGAGACATACTGTCTACACATGCAAACAGCTGAACTACTTCACCACGGAGACATAATCTCTACACAATGAGACAGCTGAACTATTTCACCACAGAGACATAATCTCTACACAATGAAACAGCTGAACTACTTCACCACGGAGACATACTGTCTACACATCCAAACAGCTGAACTACTTCCCCACAGAGACATACTGTCTACAAATCCAAACAGCTGAACTACTTCCTCATGGAGACATACTCTCTACACATCCAAACAGCTGAACTACTTCACCATGGAGACATGCTCTCTACACGCCCAAACAGCTGAACTACTTCACCATGGAGACATTATCTACACATCCAAACAGCTCAACTACTTCACCATGGGGACATACTCTCTACACATCCAAACAGCTGAACTACTTCACCATGGAGACATGCTCTCTACACGCCCAAACAGCTGAACTACTTCACCATGGAGACATATTCTCTACACACCCAAACAGCTAAACTACTTCACTATGGAGACATATTCTCTACACATCCAAACAGCTAAACTACTTCACTATGGAGACATATTCTCTACACATCCAAACAGCTGAACTACTTCACCATCGAGACATACTCTCTACACATCCAAACAGCTAAACTACTTAACCATGGAGACATACTCTCTACACATCCAAACAGCTAAACTACTTCACTATGGAGACATACTCTCTACACATCCAAACAGCTAAACTACTTCACTATGGAGACATGCTCTCTACATGCCCAAAACGCTAAACTACTTCACCATGGAGACATGCTCTCTACATGCCCAAACAGCTGAACTACTTCACCATGGAGACATACTCTCTACACATCCAAACAGCTAAACTACTTCACCATCGAGACATACTCTCTACACATGCAAACAGCTGAACTACTTCACCATGGATACATACTCACTAAACATCCAAACAGTTGGACTACTTCACTATGGAGACATATTCTCTACACATCCAAACAGTTGAACTACTTTACCATGGAGACATACTCTCAACACATCAAAACAGCTGAACTACTTCACTATGGAGACATACTCTCTACACATCCAAACAGCTGAACTAATTCACTATGGACACATACTCTCTACGCATCCAAACAGCTGAACTACTTCACCATGGAGACATACTGTCTATACATCCAAACAGTTACTACTTCACCATGGAGACATACTTTCTATACATCCAAACAGCTGAACTACTTCACCATGGAGACATATTCTCTACACATTCAAAATTTAATATCTTCAAAGTCAACTAAGAATTGGTCCACCTTTTCCATTTCTAATTCTTAGCTCTTCCTCCATAAAAAAAAAAAATTTAGTTATAAATCCTTTACACGATGTTGCAACCCCATAATTGTTTTTGGCTTTTTATGATTCAAACAGGCAATTTGAAGTTCAGTAGTTTAACATTACTTTATGAATGGGCCGGCTTTCGGTACCATTATCAAAATCATTGCAGTTGTCTGCTGCCAAATTGCCTGCAGCTGGAATTGAACCAAACACCTCAGAATTATGATGTGTGTTTGTAATGCTTAAGTCACAGACACTGTTTTCCTCCAGTACGGATTCTGACATGAATGCTGCAAGTTCCGCGACAGAGTAAAATTCAAGAAAATGATCCCAGAACACTTCAATAAATTTCTCATCCTACGAAAGCCCTGCTTTCCTTTTTTATTGTCATTTTCAACACTGATCTCCTACCTGTCCATCCCCTTTATTACTACCTGAACGACTTCACTTATGTTTTCTAAGTGGTGTACATAAAATCATGACACAGTGCAGACTGCACCGCTCAAGGTGATCTCGAATGTGATGAAATTCTGTTTCTGAAGAACAATTTGTTTTTCCCATGCAATTTCTATTGCTTGAAATCTTATCAGGAGAAGAGGAATTTCTGATAAAAGGGTCCCTGGTGAGTTCTCCTTATCAGGTCTACACTGTATTTGGAATTTTCTTTGCCTCTACCCCTGACATTTAATTCTGCTGATTGTGTGAAATGGCAAAAATTGTCAGCTTATGCTTATAGGCAAGGCACATTATAAAAGTTAGCAGGCACAACTTTCTATCTGATGATTACCCACAAGTAAGCAGACACAACTTTCTATCTGATGATTACCCAAAGGTTAGCAGGCACAACTTTCTATCTGATAATTACCTAAAAGTTAAAAAGCATAACTTTATATCTGATGATTACCCACAAATAAGCAGACACAACTTTCTATCTGATGATTACCCAAAGGTTAGCAGGCACAACTTTCTATCTGATGATTACCTAAAAGTTAAAAAGCATAACTTTATACCTGATGATTACTCAAAAGTTAAAAAGCATAACATTCTATCTGATGTCTATCCATAAGTTAGCAGGCACAACTTTCTATCTGATGATCACCCAAAAGTTAGCAGGCACAACTTTCTATCTGATGATCACCCAAAAGTTAGCAGGCACAACTTTCTATCTGATGATCACCCAAAAGTTAGCAGATACAATAGTCTGGTGACAAATGTAAAAAAAAAAACTTACAGTATCTAGAGGCAGAGATGTGTTCCACTGAAACGTCCCATCATGCTTAGCATACTCCACATTTCCTCCCAAACCGGCATATTCCTGATTTCAACAAGTAGACAGAAAGTACAACTGATTAACTGTTTATTGTGTTTCAACAAATTCTAGAACACTGAAAAAGAACTCACCTAACGTGCCTGAAGTCTGTGGTATGGGGAAAAAAACTTCTTACTGGCTAACAACATTATTTTAGGATGGAACAGGCACCATGTGTGCTACAGGGGTTGATCCTTTCACCCTGGCAACCTTTAGGAGAAAAAAAAAATACTATGGCCTTGGGAATAACCCCCCCCCCCCCCCCCCCCCCAAACTTTGACTGCTGCTTCTGTAAATAATTCCTATCTATACACTGCTAACTAAATTTGACAGCTGCTTCCTTAAACAATTTTTTTTTATCTAAGCCTTCATAACACAGAAAATTTAATGTATTTTCTTACAACAGATTCATTAATTTGTTTCATTTTTAGCTGACTACCTAAGGTTGTTTTTTTGTGTGTGTGAACGATATCAAAAGCTGTCAATGAAACACTAAGGTACATATCTTTGACACTGCCACAAATTTACACAACCTGTCCTTCCAAGGAAAATTATCTTACTGATAGTTCAGACATTGTCAATCCAGCAGGGATCATTTAACAGTCGCAGTGGGGGAAAAAATGGGGGGGGGGGGGGGGGGGGGGGTGGGGGGGGGGGGGTCTTATGTTTTGTTTTATTTCTTAACATTTTCTGTTTCATCACATGGATTTTCTTATCCATGGAATTGCTTTCATCTGTTTTTATGGCGTAGCATTCCTGCTTTTTCATTTACTGATAAAGATGCCAGTGGAAACATTCAGCTGTGTCTGTGTAGGTGTGTTGTGTTTTTTGTGTGTGCCTTTTCCTTCATAATTTTGTTTACACCAGAGTAAGTCATGTCTGCCTCCTCCTACCTGGCTTGTCTGCCACAAGGCTCCAACTGATGGAAGGACCGGGTTGTTTCGTGAGTCAATGGAAAATGTGTGCTGGAGAATAAAAACAAGATTACCAGTCATAAGTGGGCATTCGTTTATTAGCTGAGTTAAAATCACATGAAATGAAAATGAATATTAAAGTGTATATGTGACTGTGAGCTTCCTTATAGATGTACATAAAACATTCACAGTAACTTCTTCCTCTTCTGTGTTCATCCTTAACCCTTTTAGCAGCACGGGAAGTTTTTCAGAGGTCTAGCCAAAAACACGGAGCATTTTTTCAGTGAATTTGGTTATTACTTTATTTAATTTTTTTGACAGATTTCTGTTATTCTGACCCCTATGAAATAATATATCTATTTGAAGGATATAGATTGAAGTTCGTGATTTTCACAATATCGTTAAAATTAATTGATGTATATGCAAATTATCTCATTTGCATATCTAAAAATAAAAAATATGAATTTGAATTTTCAACTTCAATGCTTGAAACATAAAACTAAAAACAAAAATTTTTTTTATTTGAAATCTTTTTATTGATCTTTGGCCTTTTTACAAATTGTGTAAGCAATTCAAAAGTCAAAAACAGGTATATATATGTGAAACAGCAATAATATCTTTAGGTGACATGTGTTTTTCACCATCAGTCAGCACTAGAAATGGATGTGCCGGAGTGTCAACACCTTCGGGTGGATATACCCTGAGCCATGGTTGGGCTGTGGTCTGAACACAACAGCGTCCCCATCTGATTCCAACTATTACTACTAACACTAAATCCTGCATCAGTATCAACAGAATTAGTGTCATCACTTGATTCAAATGTTTTATCAACATCAAGTTTAGCGGCAGAAACATACGAGTCAGACATACTTTTAGCGGTTCAGGTCACTATCTAAAAAATTCAACAACAATTTTCACTTCGATACCAAACACTCGAAAGTTGCCATGTGTAAAGCTGATACCGCAGTTAATATAAATGAATCACTTTCAGTGTTTCAAAGTAGGAGATTTCTTAGCGGTTCGAGGCGAAACACGATCGGGCCGATCATCGGCCGTTCCGTGTTTTTGGCTAGACATCCGCCGGCCGATAATCGGCCCGTCCGTGCTAAGAGGGTTAAAAGGGTTATTGGCACACTGTGTTGTGGCTTACAGCTAGGCTATGATATCTGCACCTTTCCGTCCAACACAAAGCAAGCCTTTAATAATTTTATGACAACTTTGTTAATGGGCAGTGAGTCTGTTAATCACCAACCCCAACCTAAGTGGGGCCCTGACCCATATGAGGAGGTCACAGAACTGATCCACTAGCTTCCTGCCAGTTCAAACTGTAGATGACTGAATCAGTGTTGACCAATGATGACAGTAACACGCATAGACACAAAGTTATGACAAACATGGGAAATAAAATGGTCTGAATAACATTAAGAACTAAAACAATCTTGTGACACACATAATTTATTTCTATGCCCAGAGCTGCAACAACTTCTTCCCTCAAAAATGACTTTTTTTTTATCTGCTGGTATTTAGGTCATAGGGTACATACTGTCAAACATGACTGTGTTATTCTCAACTTTACTAGTATTATTTTCTATTTGTTTTGATTGATACAACAAAACGTATGTAATGATGAATGTAAAAGCCATGACACACAGTATAAACAACTACATACCTTTAGACTGGACTTGAGTGAGTGTCCGGCTTGTTCTCTGACAGAGAAACTTGTATCTCTGGACAGTGCCCTTAGGTCCCGCCATACGCCCTCCCACTGCAAGTTGTGTGAGCCCAAAAATGTGGGAAACTACAACAGAAAGATGGCAGAAGTATTGCCATTAAATTGGGATTATTACACCAGCCATTTATTTAATAATATAAAGGTCATTAATTTACTGACAGCTTTTCATCCTGAACCCTTGAAAGTGTGACGAAATGACCTCAGTGGTCTCAGAAGTTATATTGTGTTTAATAATTTCTTATGTTCAGAGAAGGACAAAGAATTAAAAGCAATAGACACTGAGCCTAAAATAGTTCTAAAACCACTATAAGGGATTTGAGAATTGTTTAAATTGCGTTTCCAATCTCTAGCCAGACAAAGCAACCTTGCTTTAGGTAATATTACCTTGGCTAGGAATTCCTTTCTCATGCCCAGTCTGTAGAGGCGAGTAAAGGGGGAGATAGCTTCGTATCACACCTTAGATTAGCTCCCCTGAATCCGACTGAAGTGTCATAAAAAAGTTACATAACACAGACTGAGGGGCTCCTTTTGAACAGGATAGATCAGGGGAATTAAGTGGTCAGGTAGACATTTCTAGACAGGCCGAAGTCCAGCGTCTGAAGTTTTCACACATGATAGTGAAATTCTCAAGAGAACAGATGTTTGGCAATTAGGAATGTTTAATCTTGGTCAAGGTCGTACTGTAGGCCGTTCACTGTGAGTGACAGGCCCATTGATAGCTAGGTTGATCTGCTAGGTACCTCAGAGGCGGGGCGTAAGTCATCTCCTTGAGGGTTGGGTAGAACCTAGTAGAGGGTGGAGTTTAACCTTGCAGACAGATAGAGGTATTAATAAGACAAGCCCTGGAATTTCTGTCATAATCGCTGCCAGAGGCAACAAACAGGTCGACCTTAGAGGTAATTCTAATGGTTTGATTCTAGTTTGGCGATTGCTGGAAGTTTCCAGCTCCCATGTGGGTGAGGATCAGTCTTTTCTACAAAAAAGAAATAGAGGGTCATCACGGTCACGAGACTACATTGTGCTAGAACTCAGCCAGCTGGGAAACAGGTGGGAACCAGGGAAACAGGTGGAAGGACCAGGAGAACTGGGCGGAAAGACTGGAACAGCTAAGAAGGGACTCAACACGAGGACTCTCAGAGGTTCCACTTTCTAAAGTTATGTAACATGTATTTATGTAACTAAACACCACCATTATCATTTATTCTAATCTTAGGTGCTCAGTTAGCTGAAGCATATCATTACCACCATACCATCACTATTGACTAAAAATATAAAGAACTAAAATGAGTGCTAGGTTAATAAATCAAGTATATGGTCTTATCCTGCATCAGTTTTTATAATTCCAAGTGTGTCTGTTCTTACATGTTTAATTAAACTGTTAAGATAGAATAGCATTTGGTGGGAGCTCATTAAATAATAAGAATAATTCTGTACCAAGAGAAGGTCGACGGATTGGGTCAACTGCCCTGTCTAGTGAATCATTCAAGATAATAATATATAGACATCTAAAACCCATTTCCTTCTCTTGTGGGTACCAAGGTCAGCTAAAGTTAATATAAATAACGAGCCAATATGGCTGTTTTCTTGGATATCCAGGACTTTGTCTGAGAGCAACATAGCCCGGATAATAGTTCAGTTAATCTGGTGGAGGGGATGTGTTAAGAGGGAAATCCCTACTCAACATATAAATCATTTAAACCCAAATCCAGAGAACCCACGACCCGGGACGTCACACTAAAAGTGTTGTACTTTCCAAGGGAGTGGGCCGTAACGTCACAGAAAGTATAAATAACTATTTTATATTTACTTTTCCCCAGCCATAAAAAACATTTATTAATGCAGGAAATACAGTTAAACGTCTGCTCAGGAACCAAACTCCTCTCTTGTAGTGAGCAGGCAGGTGTCCTACAACTACAGCACATGGATATGCCCTGAAAAATATCAATATAAACTTCAAACTATCAACTTTTACTGCTGTTATAAAGCTCTCCAGGGCAGACCCGGTTCTTAACCTTGGTTGCCAGCTGGTCTGGGGAGGGGGGGGGGGGGGGAGCTGCAACAGCCACTGGTTTTCTGATCTGGCAGCTTCTGTAGCATACTTGGTTCCAAACCTGTTTGTGTTATCTTTCCTTTGAAGTAAACAAGTTAGGCCGAAGGAGGGATCATGATGCTGGACAACACATGGTATCTACAATACAGTCCAGGCACTGTGCTATGGAGAGGAGGAGATTCATCCCTAGCCTAAATTGGTCCAGGAAACAAAAATTACCCTAAAATTATAAAAACATTTTTTTTATGAATTGTTTGCCAAGGAACTTGAACCCTAGCACCCCAAGATCATGGAAATGAAAAGAAATAGAAAACATAAATATTACTAAAGATTACTGGATTGGTTATATATAGACAGTACAAACTAACAAACTGCTTACAGTGAGGTCAAAGGCCATGCCCCTGTCTGTCTGTTTGTACCCACTCCAAGGGAATTCCCCATGGAACTGGTAGCCGGTACAACCAACACTGGGGACCAGAAATGATCAACTTTGTATGTGCAGGTGACGGAAACACGTGGGGGTGATGACAACATGTGTGGGTGATGACAACATGTGTGGCTGATGACAGAGCTTCTGGATGAGTGACAGAATACATGGATAAGTGAGAGTGTCTAGATGAATAACAAAATGTAAACAATACAGCCCTCACTAGGGACCAGAAAATATCAACTTTATATGTGTGTATGAATGACAGAATATATGTATAAATGAAAGATGTCTGTATGGGAGATTTAGTGTTTGTATTATTATTGACAGAATGTGCAAATCACACACACGCACACACAGACAAAGAATGTCACATAATGAAAAAGTGAGTTATGAAATGAAAGAATGTTTGTGAATAAAGGGAATAATGCAATCAACATTATCATCATAATGTGGCAAGTCTTTTGCACAGAGTGGCTCTCATCACAATCTGCTAGAAAGACTCTCAGTCTCTCACAAGTCTGCCATGCCTCATGGATTCTGATGTCCAGGGAGTCTGTTTGTGTCCACTGTTTGTTAGTGTGGCCTACCTCAGCTTAGATGAACAATTTCTCCAATCACTGTTCTTAATAAATAACTGCCAAACCACAGCCAGAGTATTTCCATTTTCAAGATAGAATGCTCTGTATGAGCCAGATTGCTTCAGTATCAGGTCTTGTAGAATGTCAACAATTAGTTTCTTCTCGGTCCACAGTATTCAGATAATGTTTACGCAATGTTTCATTTTTTTTCCAACAATTATAATCACAATTATATTACAAAAGCAGCATTTTAGGAATACTATTATACAACAGTGAATGTTGGAAAATGACAGCAGGAATTACACATAAACTTGAGACTTTTCAACAAAATAAATGTTTAAGGAGAATTCTACAAATATTTTGGCCAAACAAGATCACAAATGAAGAACTGAGAAGGAAAACAGAATGTTTATCACTGGAAAATGTTATCAAAGTAAGACGTTGGAGATGGCTTGGACATGTTTGCAGAATGCATTGTGACACTCTGGAAAAAACAGCTCTCGGGTGGACAGCAGATGGAAAAAGGAGATGTGGACAACCTAAGGAAACCTGGAGAAAGACAGTAGAGCGGGAAATAAAGGAATGTAAACTGGCAAGGGATACCATGGGCAGAAAAGCAGCAGCAAACTGGCAGTAATGGAAATCACTTGTGAATGCCTTATGTGTCAACAGCGACATGAAGATGATATAGAGAATAGATAGGATTTAGCACCACAGGCCCAAGCGGTAGAAAAGAGACCCAAAATCCGCGCATCATGCGTTAACTGGGCTTCTAGGTAGGAACCCGTGAACGTATGATGTGTTCCTTGGGACACAAAGAGTTAATGTCTATAAAACATTCCATGATTGACATCCGTACACTGCCACAGTGAAGATGCATCTATTAAGAACGTCTCCTGTTATTTGTCATGAAAATACATCAAACCCAACGACAAGCATAACTAGTCAGTTTCAATGATCTCAATCACAAATAAAAAGTGAACGTTGTAGCGAGAAAACCTTCATCAGCACCTGCTATGAACAGACAGTATTACAATTACAAACAAGAACAAACAATAACCTCAAATGCTGAATTGAGAATCAACACCACAGGACTCAGGACACTTCCGTAAGTGCTCTGTTCTCATTTTCAGAAAGTGAAGAGTTCCCATTTCTATAGTACCAGCAACTGTCTGATTGTACAACCATCTAGCTTTTTCCTTGTGTTAAGCATCGGCCAGATTCCCTGGTAGCTCCCTGCCGTGCCACTCTCCTCAGACAGTAATGATCTATTTGTGCCTCCTCAGTTTTCACTCGCTCCCAAAGGGCTCTCACAACATCTAAACTGTTATACATCCATTCAGACAATAGTCTGTTATTTATCTATTGATACTGCACAATTATTTCTCAATGCTGCTACTGGCAGTGATATAACATAAACAAATGAAATGAAACCATCTAGCTTTCATGAGGATGATATTATTTAAAAGGACTGTTTATCAGCAACTTACAAAATGTCTGGATTGTTGTTAAGTGGTTTCCTGAAGTAGGCGCTGTAGCCATGGGTTCTCTTTGTGCCCAGGGTGTAGTCCAGGCTGAACCTCTCCCCTCGTCCCATCATGTTGGGTGCTTTCACCTGGAAATCCTGCAGAAGGCATAGAAGGTGATAAGTGACGACACAGACGCTGAACTTGAAAAATGTGATGAGTAGAATAAAAGTAGGGTAAAGTAAAGATCCCTTTTCACGCCTTTCGGCACATCCGGCATATGGGCAGAGCATCCCATATTTTTTACAGACCAATCGGCACTCGGTGGCTAATGTGATCAGCATTACGCCGGCCGTCTTTACTTCAACAGGACAGCCATCCTGGTACCCATTTGAGGCTGGGTTGACCTGCGACATCCCACCATGGTAAAAGTCCACGCTGCCCGCAGTGAGTTTCGATCGTGGTATGTTGGATTACGAGTCGGACTCGCAACGCCTTAGCCACGGATGCCGCGATTAAAAAAATACCAACTCTAAAAATGAAACATGATAAGTAAGGGCACAGGCTCTGAACCTGAAGAAGGTGATAAGTGAGAGAACTTACTGGTCATCTGTAAGCTATTTCTGCCTCAAGAATTTGTTTCTATTCAATTTATTTAACAGTGTATATATTAAGATAAGAATTCTGACATGTTTTCCGATAAGGTGGAGTTTTCAGTTATACATCACCTGAAACAATGAGTTCCAAATATTTCACAGTAACCATGGCCCAAATTTTACACCCTAAAATTAGTCTGTAAAGTCTGTAAAAGTGCACTGTTTGAGCATGTAATAATAATTAACCCAATGAACTGTGGCTTAGAAGCTTTCAATGAAAAGGGGAAATTAATCAGTGCACACAAAACAGACAAATTAACAATTCAACTGGAGCCTTTTTTAGACATGAACTACACAACAATAACAAAGTACGAAGTACTCCAACCACCAGTGCCCACCATGGGGTCACATGTAAAATATAGAAAGATAAAAAAGGTGATGTGGAATGGATGAAATAAAATAAATGAAGGAGGTGAAATAGTCATAAAATCAATAGTGTCAATGTAAAATAGTAGTAGGGACAAAAATTCTAATGATCCATAAAACCAAATAGAATAAAATGAAAATATAAAATAAAATAACTTTGAACAAGGAGAACTGGCTACTTCACACAGAACTCTACCCATGTGGGTTCCAGGACCCCATTCTGGGGACAAAAGAATGGACCCACTGTCTCCCTGACAAGCATGTCATAAAAGGCAACTAATCAGGGATTTTTCCTCCAAAGTCAGAAAAGATCTGCCTAAGAGGCAATGAACCAACAGTTTGCATAAGCCAGATCTGTAAAATGGGTGTGCATGGAAAATTCAAGTTCTGGAACAAGACTCAAGTCCAGACATGGACGAACAACCAGAACTTTCTGTCAGTATACCACCGGTAAACATTAAGAAGAAGAAGAACATAGCACTCACCAAGCTTCCATCATTGTTGCTAATTGTTGTGTGGATGCCACCGTCTATCTGGCGAAACTCCTGCACCTCAAACATGACCTCATACCCATGCTCAGCTTTGTCTGTTTTCAAAATTTAAAAAATATATATATATTTAAGAACATCTCGTATACAACTTTTCATTTACAGCAATAACACTGTATGTACATAAATAAATACTTTTCTAGCCTGTGGGAGTTAATGTTTGTGAAATTTGTGTGAAATATGTAGTGTGTGGAAAAGTGCTGATGTTGATCTATAATTTTTGAAGATTGATTTGATTTGATTCAAGAACTGACATCACAGCACTCGGGGCATTCCCATAAGCGCTCTGCCCCCTTCAGCAGCCAGCGAAGAGTTCTGATACTAATGGTGCCTGTTTTTGAAGATACAATCACAACTTTGCTAATATCAATCAGCAATTTCTGAGAATATAATTTTACCTTCACTCATCATCATCATAAACCACAACAGCCATCAAGCTGCGATCTAGTGCATGTTGGCTGGCACTGGCTATTGTAATGCCATAAAGGGGTCAAGCGTCTTTAATGTTGTTGGTCTATATTTTCACAGCCGTCGCCTTAAACTTTTGGCTGATCTTCTGAGATGTAATGCCTGTGATGGTATTTGATCTTGCTGCATTCTAACGAGATGGCCAAACCATTATATCTGCAGTTCTCGATGAATCTAGTACAAGGTGTTGTTCCCACAATCTGTCTGATAATATCATTATTCACTCGATCTCAGATGGTTAGGTTGGCTGCTTTTCTCAGGCACCTCATCTCGCAAGTGGTGATTTTGTGTACCTGGGTTTTAGAAAGTGTCCATGTTTGACACTAGTAGTTTAATACTGGAATGAATATGCTGTTTATAGTCTGTTGTTTTGCACTCATAGTTATGTTTGGATGCCTTAATAATGGTGACGATTGGTTTATGGCTGCACATGCATTCTGATATATATTTCTGTCAATTCTGCCATCTTCTGTGATCATCCTTCCGAGATATTTAAATTCCTTAACTGGTTTCACACCAGACCTTCACTAACATTGATAAATAATTTTTCAAGATCACTCACTATCTTAACTTTATTAAAACCAATAAATCATTTCTAAGAACACTCTTTCACATTTACTAACATCGATAAATAAATTCTAAAGATTACAAACTCACCTTTGCTAACATCGATGGCTATAACTACATTTTTGAAAAGGCCAAGACGCTCCATCTTAACTTTGGCATTGTAGCTAAGCTGGACCAACTGTGAGGAAGAGAAAAGTTGGTCAAAAATGAAATAAACATTGCCACAAAATCTGACGTAGGAAATGACGTCACACAAACTGAGACTTGAGTTCTGGTGATTTAATATACCTCTTTTTTCCTCCCTTTTCTTTTTATCTGTTTTCATTTTTCTGTCCCTTCTCTTGTTTTTCTTCTATGGGTCACTGGTCTAAAGCAATATTCAAATTTCATAACCCTGTATGCCTCGCTTATAAGCCTTCCATTTACATCTTTTTCACTGTAACCCCAATGTTTTTGGGGAGGATTGATATTTGCCCACATATTTTTTGGCAGGTTTCACCTCCGCTGTTGACAAAATACAAAAGTGTCATCTGCAAACACCAAAAAAAAAAACCAAAAAAAAGATTAGATTCATAACATGTGCCTCATCAAAGTTTAATGTGGTTTCATAACACTTAACTCATCAAAGTGTGGTTTCATAACTTCTGGTTTTATAAAATCGACCTCATAAATTTCTGGTTGACAAAATTTACTTCAACAACTTTTGGTTTTTTTTTCTTCAAATTTACTGTTTCAATTTTTTTTTTTGTTTTATAACATTTACCTCAACAACTTTTGGTTAAAAAACATTTACCTCTTCAACTTCTGGTTTTACAACATTAACCTCAACAAATTTTGGTTTTATAACATTTACCTTAACAACTTTGGTTTTTTTTCAATATTTACGGTTCAATTTTTTGTTTTATAACATTTACCTTAAAAAATTATTGTTTTATAACAGTTATCTTACCCATAAAAGTTTCATTTTATATTATTTACTAATCAATATTTGGTGTTCTAACTTTTACCTCACTAACTTTCTGTTTTATGATTTTCAACTCCTAATATTTTCTTGCCAGCTTTTGGTTTTATAACTTTTACTTCACCAATTTTTGGTTTTGTAAGACTTACCTCATTAGCTTTTTGTTTTGTAAGACTTACCTCATTAGCTTTTTGTTTTGTAAGACTTACCTTATAAACTTTTGGTTTTGTAAGACTTACCTCATCAATTTTTGGTTTCGTAACATTTATTTTATCAGTTTTTTGGTTTTGTAAGACTTACTTCATCACTTTAGGTTTTGTAAGACTTACCTCATCACTTTAGGTTTTGTAAGACTTACCTCATCAAAAGTCTTGGCACCCAGCAGTGGTTTGATCTCCTTGATGACGACATCATCTTTAGTTCGAGTGAGACCATCGACCACCACCCGCTGCACTCGAACCTGACGACGACAAGGAACTAATACTTCAGACCAAGAGTACTTTAATACTGTCATGTACACACTCACAAAAACATTCTTCTTATTCTTTTTTTTTCTCTCACTGCCAGTGGTTTTCAGATGAAAGGACCATGGGTCTATATGAAGTCTGTGATGCGATGGAGAGAAGCAGGATGTAACCGACTCTTGACTAGAATGTCTTTGAGGTTATTAAGGTCATGTATGTAAGCCACCAGATGAAGTTTAGAGAAAATTGTGCTGGTGGCAGGTTCCGCCTGAAGGATTGAGAGATGTCTGAGGAGAGTATTTTTGGCACGGATGTTGTGAGGGTGGCAGGTTCCGCCTGAAGGATTGAGAGATGTCTGAAGAGAGTATTTTTGGCACGGATGTTGTGAGGGTGGTAGGTAAGTATCTTGCTCTTAGCATTCCACAGCTATATATTCTCAGCGTGTTCTTTTTATTGCACTGGCAAGACATTCTTGTGGCTGCATCTGGATACACGAGTTCAGAGATTTCGTGTGGTTTTGTCTGATTTATGTATGTGCTAACAAAGGCTCTATAGCCGCAACGTTCATATTTTGTATGTGTTTGTTACACTGTGAAGCTCGCTGATATACTTTTCGTTTCAGTTTTATATATTTCCTTGATACTGCATGTAGAGAATGAACGAACAAACTTGATTTTCAAAGGGTTACAAATTGGGCATGCAGGCCCGTCTGACATTTGGCCGCTGCAAGCACTCATCTTTCAGACCACAACTGCATATTATGTCTACATAAAAGAATACATAATGTAAATAATGCACACACATACACACACATATTTGAGAGCACATCTGTAGCATGTGTTAAATATTCTGTATCGCCTGTCCACATGGGTAAAGTTATGAATCACCAATCTTGAATTTTGTGTACACATGTACACATGACAGCATATATTATGATCATATATTTTGGTCTGTTTCTTTCATGTAAGGATAACTTCACGTCCTTTTTAGGATGAAATTTGTCGTTTTTTGAAGAACTACCCTGGCTCTTGCCAGGGGCTGCAATATAGCCCATCCATAAATATGGTCTAATGGCTGAACGCCGTTTCTGGGACCTCTCCACGGGTGATCCTCATCCACATGGTGGCACATTGTGTCATCGGGTGTTTATCGCTTGTGTGATGTCCTGGTGGGGTAGAACGTCAGTCAGTCATGTGAGGATTGTGTCCTAGATGGAACATGTTCCAAAGGTTCTAAGGGATAGAAAGTCAGTCAGTCAGTCATGTGAGGATTGTGTCCTAGATGGAACATGTTCCAAAGGTTCTAAGGAATAGAAAGTCAGTCAGTCAGTTAGTCATGTGAGGATTGTGTCCTAAGTGGAACATGTTCCAAAGGTTCTAAGGGATAGAAAGTCAGTCAGTCATGTGAGGATTGTGTCCTAGATGGAACATGTTCCAAAGGTTCTAAGGGATAGAACGTCAGTCAGTCATGTGAGGATTGTGTCCTAGATGGAACATGTTCCAAAGGTTCTAAGGGATAGAAAGTCAGTCAGTCATGTGTCCTAGATGGAACATGTTCCAAAGGTTCTAAGGGATAGAAAGTCAGTCAGTCAGTCAGTCATGTGAGGATTGTGTCCTAGATGGAACATGTTCCAAAGGTTCTAAGGGATAGAAAGTCAGTCAGTCAGTCAGTCATGTGAGGATTGTGTCCTAGATGGAACATGTTCCAAAGGTTCTAAGGGATAGAAAGTCAGTCAGTCAGTCATGTGAGGATTGTGTCCTAGATGGAACATGTTCCAAAGGTTCTAAGGGATAGAACGTCAGTCAGTCAGTCATGTGAGGATTGTGTCCTAGATGGAACATGTTCCAAAGGTTCTAAGGGATAGAAAGTCAGTCAGTCAGTCATGTGAGGATTGTGTCCTAGATGGAACATGTTCCAAAGGTTCTAAGGGATAGAAAGTCAGTCAGTCAGTCATGTGAGGATTGTGTCCTAGATGGAACATGTTCCAAAGGTTCTAAGGGATAGAAAGTCAGTCAGTCAGTCAGTCATATGAGGATTGTGTCCTAGATGGAACATGTTCCAAAGGTTCTAAGGGATAGAAAGTCAGTCAGTCAGTCAGTCATGTGAGGATTGTGTCCTAGATGGAACATGTTCCAAGGTTCTAAGGGATAGAACGTCAGTCAGTCAGTCATGTGAGGATTGTGTCCTAGATGGAACATGTTCCAAAGGTTCTAAGGGATACCTCTTACAGTGGATAACAAGAAAACCTTCTGGTTTATTACTGGGTTATTGCCCCCCCCCCCCTCCCCCCAGAGATCATAGGCTCTCACTGTGTACAATGGCCATCTTAGAAATCTTTTGGCAGCAAAAAACTGGAGAAAAAACGAGTAGTATGAACAATACAGGCTAAATTTAATCATTACAAACTGACCTACAAACAAAAATGTATAATAGTATTTGTGATTTCAGCTTCCCTACTGGATCCTAGGTACTGTAATGAAGACGGTGCACTGTGTAGAGATTACCTGTGTGTGGTCTATGGGAGGAGGCTGACACAATTGTGGAGATATCTGCTGCAACAATTATCCCTGACCAAAACATGAACTGCATGTGTTGACCACATGCGACACTAACAACAGCTATATGAAATGTCAATTTAACTGGGATCACAAATTCATTCATCGTGTTGTTGTGCCGTTATATGTCACATAGGGCTTGCAGTCTTTTCCTCCATTCCGTTCTATTCTGAGCAATCACTTCAACATCATGGATGGAGTCCTATCCAGCACCTGTGGTTTCTCTCGATAAAGTTCGCGTTAGGGTTTCCGCTGGACGTCCTTGCTTCCTTAATCCCTCTAGTTCCCATTTAGTCTATGTTTTGTGTCCAATATAGAGCCACCTTCTCCATCACAACTGTTGATACTATTGGTTGCCCAGATATGTCTCTTCGTAAAATATTTCTTCACCCCTCTTGTCTCTTCACCCCTCTTGTCTCTTCACCCCTCTTGAATTCATCTCATTCCGGGTTTTCAAACAGACCAAGTCTAAAATGAGAATCAAGAATTGCTCTGAGAAATCAAAGCATCAAGGACAATACAGATCACATGGCCCAACAAGTGCCGACTGACCTATTACAATACAGGTTGAGCAATACATGGGACCTGCCATGGTGTAGTTGCAAGGTGCTCGCCTGCACATCAGAAAGTCGAGTGTTCACCTCCTGACGGATACTTTTTTCCATACAAAAATGAGCACGGCTCCCAGCTCCCAGGTTGACCCAGCCTTGGGTGGGTACCAGGAACAGTCCTGGGAAGCAAAGGTGGCAGGCATGATGATGACCACCTCACCCACCACATGCCGATTGGTCAATAAAATATACATCTAGCCCTATATGCCCAATATGCCCAAAGGTGTGAAAAAGGGGTCCTTTACTATACTTAGCAACACATACCCATGTATTTCCAGTCACGCCCCATATCCGCACAGAACTGAAAATTAGCCCAGACTAGTCTAGCTGTAACTGGTGCCCCAATACAACACAAATGATTATTTACTTGTTGTTGTATCGACATCCTAGCAAATCAGTCCAATCCATTCGTGCACCGTCCTCAGATGCAGCAGCCATCTCTGTGTCTCCATGTTCAATGTACCCAGAAGGAGTTGACTGGCACTTCTACATTTTCTTTACCCCGCAACTGGTTTCTACATGCATGTCCTCATTTAGTTCCCATTTCCAACAGACGATTGACTCATCATTGACTCCTTTGTCTCAATGACTCTAGAATGCAGCACATTCAGTATGTCTGTCCTGTCAATGCTTCTTCTTCCACTGAGCACGGTCAATCTGTTGGCTCTTTCATTTCTTTTCGCTCTGGCATGCATAAATGATGATTATATTAAACAATTGTCTACATACAGGATTTCTGTTAAATTTATATGTAGTCCCCTGTTTAATATAATGCTCATTTGTTTTATTTTAAAATCTTTAATATTTTATGAAAATAACATTTGTGACTCGATACTGTTAATGTTGGATGAAACCTTCATTCATGTTATATTTTAGGGATTTAAATCCAGTGAAACCATTTGATCTGACCAAAGTTAGCAGTCAATAAAGAATTATGAAAAGTATTAATGGTGATTACATAAAACATTCACAAATATTATATTAAATAAGAATTCCATATTAATAGTTGTAAACCCCTTTTCATTTAAAGTACTCACAGGCAATTTGTCAAACTTTACATAAACGTCATTCTTCTTGTTGTCTCCACTCACAGACTGAAATAATTTATGCATGTAAATTTATGTATTGTTAAAAAAAAAAATGAAAATATATATATGTTTAAAAACAATATAAAATTCCTCACCCCTTTTTTTTCCCCCACAGAATTAAGAAACAAAAATGTATTCAATCAACATATTCTTAATCTACGACTTTTCCCTGACCAGCGCAAATAGGTCAACAAACACAATGAAAGCTCTCTGTGGACATAGTTATGTGAAACAATAGGACAACAGAAAGAAAAGGATACGCATAAACACCACCGAACATTTTGATTAGTGTCTATCAAAGGAGCTGTTTAAATGTTTTAAACTAACCCTGGTTAGTAACCTTTAACCCTGTCACCCTGTGAGAAAAACTGTGCTGAAACTCACAGAGAATTTACCACATTCTGCATACAAGTCATCTACAACTGTAGAAAAAATGAAAAATAAAAAGGGTTATGGAGAAAACTGTTGAACTGTTTAATACAGAAAGAGAAGAGAGGGAGGGAGGGGCAAAATGCTGAAGCCCATGAAAATGTGTCTAGCCCTTTATGGTTGGCAAGATAAGTCAATGCTTTATTATTCTCCTAGTACTAAGCATGCCCAATATGTAGTGATGTCGACTGTGATAACATGACAATTTTCTAGTGCTCTGTACTTACCGATGTCTTCAAGCCTGAAGGCTGTGAGTCAACAGTTGGTGCCTGCAGGAAACAATCACAGACAACTGGTGAGTTACACACAATAAAACTTGGAAGAGTACATATCTGAAAATAACTAATGCAGCAGAACTAATATTTTAGCAACCCAAATTTTGGGGTTAACTTGTTGAACTGCCACACAGGAAGTGGCCTGAAGTCCCAGGGGTAGTCAATCCATCAGGTATCCGGGGGAAGTCAGACAGTGTACTTCTGATTATTTTCACAATTTTCCTGAATTCATGACTATGAGAAAGTCAAAGAAGCTGTACGACTTTAGGAAACAGTGTGCTTAGATGCCAGCTACATCTACATATCTTGGTAAGTACAGAATTAGTACTTTCGCTGTCAAGGCAAACAAACAGAAGACATGTCAAGCCTCATAGTGTAAAAATTGCTCGTGAATTTAACCCAATATATGTATATGTTAGATAAAAATTGCAGATTATATCAAACTTGCAAAATAACCGGAATTGATAACCAACTTTTTGTCCCTGTGTGCTTAGCTGAAAAGATAAACTCTGTGTGTGTATATATATACATGTGTGTGTAGAGATAAGAGAGAGAAAGAGAGAGAGAGAGAGAGAGAGAGAGAGAGAGAGAGAGAGAGAGAGAGAGAGAGAGAGAGAGAGAGAGAGAGAGAGAGAGAGAGAGAGAGAGAGATCTTAGTTGTGCTTCTAAAAGTTAAGTAGACTTAATAAATTAATTTGTTTCCCCAGGTATCATTCCGTTAATTACTGTGAAATAAAAAAAAAGAAAACTGCATCCATTTTCAATGACATGTGAAAAATTAAACCCTGCAGAGCTGATCAAAAAGGTTCCAAAATAGCATTCTCAAATCATAGGGCAATGCAGCAGTACTTTAGATAAACTGCCTCAAATAAAGACTAGCTGTTGCATAATTGAATAGAGTTGGAAGGCATGTGAATTCTAAGAAATATATAGCAGTGTTGCTGACCAAGTAACAAAAATAGGCTCTCCTCCCAATAACGGTCCCAAATGATCTTCGCAGAAAGTAAACCCTAACAGAGCCTCATTATGTCCTACTCTACAAAGATTTAAAAGTTGTAGCTCGGAAAATATAAGGAAGAAAAAGTATGAGGTAAAGGGCGAAGTCTACTACTTACCGACAGTTAAATCCTTTATATGTGAAAATTGTGGCACAGAAGTTGCAAATAGCGCCTGAATAACTGTTCTTTCTGGCTGTCCGCCATTTCAACAAGCCGCGGCTGGTCAGCGACTCTCATTCCGGGTGACACATAATCAATAATGCGCGTTTTAATGTACGCGTATGTCGCCTCGATACAACTTTAAACCAGCAGCCGCCTCTATGGCGCTCCACTATCCCGACCACCCCTTGACTGTGGCGAATGCGTCCACACTGGCAGTTGCGACGGAAGAAGTAGCTCATGTCCTGTGACTATAGTGCCACCTCTGAGAGTATCTCTACGCGCGGCACGGAAGGGGCTAAACTAGATGGCTAGGAATCACGAGCAAATACAATGGAGGAAGCTGCAGGAGAAGCGGTAGCTACTGCTCGTGAGTCTTAGCTATCTAGTTTAGCCCCTTCCGCGCCGCGCGTAGAGTCGCGGGGATACTCTCGGAGGTGGCACTATAGTTGGCGAAAAGTGGTCCGCAACTCACATATAACTGTGGCCCTGCTGTAGGAGAGTGCTATCGGGAGTATTCTTGCGTGTCGCTAATTTTTTGTCCTTAGTTAATCCTAGTTTTGCCGCCATTTAATCGTCGTAAAAAAGTCCATTGTGCAATTAATCCTACTTTTGACGCAGTTGATTCGCCGCAAAAGAAATGCGAATTTTAGATATGAGTGAGGCTCTGTTAGGGTTTACTTTCTGCGTTGATCATTTGGGACCGTTATTCGGAGGAGATCCCAAAAATATAGATAATAATAAAACTTCATGTGTTAAAACTGTCATGTGTCTAACATCCTTGCATGTAGTGTCATTCTAATATTTTGTTGTTGCAATTCTGATCCTTAAATAGTTTAGATTCTGTATTCATTTCTCTTTAATTTGATATATTACAATTACATGTCACTATTCAGTATACTACTTGCTAGCGACTACAGTTTTGACAATTTGCAGTCTTTTTGACAATTTCCGTTGCCATGGAAACCGTTCGAAACTTGCTTGAGAAATGTCAGCTGGGGTTTCGGGATGGGTCCTAATCTCTCATGAAAATTTGCGATTGGTGTGATTTTCACCAGCTATAAACAGCTGAAAATGGCGGGAACGAACCCGATTAACAGCGCATGTCTACGACAGCCGGACGTCCTCTGTTTTTCTGTTACATCAGTTTGATTGAAAATAGCGGTAAAGTATTCAAGGTTGGCTTTAGGCCTTAAACATTACCAGACATGGTAATGCTAGTTATAATTGAATTCTCCGTCCAATTTTACATTTGTGTATAACTGTATAAAATGTCTTTCTTGTCCGTGGCTATTTAGATTTACAGTGACATTTTTCAGGCAATCGCTATTATGTGGCTGTGTCTGAGAAAAATTGTCTGCCATCTTGTCCAATGAAAACAAAGCCAAAACAAAAGTTGCGCAGTTTGGTTGCGCAGAGAAAACTTCTTGTTTCTCAGACACAAGTGTTAGTGTTAGCAGCTGTTTTTTACATCTCATCTCCACAAAAACCTACATATCTCAGCTCAGAAATGACACACAAGCCTAAATGAGGTACCGTTGGGAAGAGATTGTTTACAGCTATCTAACTGTGCTGGTTTTATTGGTGTTGAGGGCATTTTAAAAATTTGACTAAAGTACCTATACTACTTGCTGAAGAGGCATTATTTTCCTCTACTACTCTAAGAAGAAGTGAAGAAGAATCATGTATAAATTTGCTTAAAAATTACTTAATATTTCGGCTCAGAACTGATGCGGAATCCAACTATTTAGTTGCATTATTTAAGAATTATTTATAAAACCAGACTAAAGTCACTAAAAGTAAGTATAAAGTATGTATGTATAGATCCAGAAAGTCTCAAGACTACTACTACTACTACTACTATACTACAATATTTTCGGAATTTTACGAAAATATTCAAAATATAAGTAGCGTGCAACTTTTGCAAAATAACTTCTTGAAGAAAGAGGTGCACATACTGGTAAAAATGACAGCTACGTCTATGCTTTTTTATACTGTAGAATTTATAAACAACTGTAATTAGAAGAGATGTATCTTTGACATTGAATTTTACCTTTGCATGAACAGTCCCCATCACCGAAATCTGCGCCACCGGTTTGAAGAGTTCCAGTAAGGGAGATCATCAGTGTAAATAGAAACATCATTATGTGCCCATTTTCCTTCCTTTGTCGTCACACTGTTAACGGGTTATTACTTGTAGCCCTGGTGTCGTGGTTTCTTGTATTTAAATGTATTCGTCATGCCAATCTTAAGTGACTTGAGTGATTGGTTTGCTCACACTGTTTGCATTTTTCTGCTACGCCGTCTATCCATCTCGCCCTTGATCCTCTCTAGCCGTTTGAGCTGTGGCAGCTTCTCATTTCCCTCCATATATAGAGTGAAAGGATATAATTTCGTCGCCCATCTACAGAGTTGAGTCCATAGCGCGACACTGCAAGCTGCGGATTTCCTTTGGGACGCTTTTCGATCGACTGTGCCCCGTGTGATTTGTTTCGTGAACTGCAGTTTAAAAAATTGTCTAGTGGCTTGTTGTCACAGAACTTCTGGACCTTGATCGATCAGTCACTACTGATGTATTGTAACTGCATCTTCTATCGACAGTAAGCTGCATTCCTAGTGGGACTGTTTGTCTTGGCACTTCTGACTGCTGCCTTATGCATTTAATGTGTGTGCATGCTGTTGGATTTCCTATGACTGCAGTCTGTGTCAATATTTTTTTTTTTTTTTTTACAAGGCACACTGATCTACATTTTATGTGGTTTTTGTTGGCATAGGAAAGGAGCAACTACGGTGTGATCAATTTACAATGAAGTTGAAAGTGAGTTTACCTGACTATCTGATCTCGGCCTTCGCCCCGAATTTCTGCTGTGGAAAGTATCAAATACAATTCGGCCTGGCCAAACCACTTTATTCTATTTCGATGTTCCTGCTGTAAGATAGGACTACAGTAGAAACATCATACGCTTCCAGGAGACTCTCAACAAACTTCAGAGTAGAGCAGCAAACAATTATTGATTCAGCCAAAGTGCTTTTCGAAACAACACACCCATCCTTTGTCGTTACCATAAATCAAAACACTCATCAATGGGAAATACAAGGAATTGTGGAGAGAACAAACTAACAGTAAACATCCACAGGAACCCATCAGCAGACTCAACAGAAATCAACATACAACAATTCTCCATCTACAAACAGGACAGCGCAGGCTAACTACCACATGTAAAAAAAAAAAAAAGACTGTACAGTCCACACGGTGCCTGTCAGACAGGACCACAAATACCTAAGCACATTCTGCAGACCTGCCCACTCTACCTACAACTACGAAAAGACACCTGGCCTTAAGAGCAAAGTGTGCAGAGCAAGCTTTGGAGAACCATAAAGGACCTGCTGCTGACATGCGAGTTCACAGAAGCAACCCACCTGATGGTCTGATCTGAGCGTACGAAACAGAACGCAAAGAAGAAGAAGAAGAAGATTTCAGTGTAATGAAGGCACGGTCTTCTTACAACCTTCTCTCTAATACTGGTATTTGTTGCCATGTCCTGTCCCCGTGTGGGTTCCGGGGCCCCGTTGTGGGGGGGGGGGGCGCCGCCTCTTCAAAAAGCATGTCGCAAAAGTCTACTAACTGGAAGCTTCTTTCGAAATCTGCCCGAGCAGTAAAAAACAATCAGCTGCACACAAGCAAGCCAGTAAAATGGATGTACGCCCTGACACAAAGCCAAAGCCCAAATGGATGAACAACCAGGACTTTCCGCTGGAGCTTACAGACGGTGAACACGGAAGAAGTGACCCGGTCCCTTCTTGTTTTGTTATTAACCTTTCCGGGACAGCACATTTCGCAGGAGGTTATTTTATGTTCCTTGATCTACTATCGTTATGTACCCTTCATCATGTAACTAGTCCCTTCAATATGGCGTTCTTCACTGTGAATGTCCTCGCCTTCTGTATTGTGTACTGCCGGTTAAGTATAAAACAAATCTTCTTTCATGGTCCTGATTTTCTTACATTCTTTCTCTTGGCAAATTATGCCTCTCTTGTCCTTCAGCTTCTCGGTTGTCATAATATACTTTAGTTTTTCTACCCCCATTCCATGCCTAAAGAATGTAGCTTGGATAGTCCTTAGTCGCGGCTCCAATTTCGCTACAATGGGTTACCTCATAACAGCTCCGTTACTGTGTCAGTAGACATTAATATTAAATCTCGCCCTTATATGGGGTGCACATTTTTGTTGTTGTTATTTCAAAGCCCCATCCCAACTGTTGCTTGCTTGCTTGTTGTATCCCCTCCCCCCCCCCCCCCAGGACATCATGTACCCCACCAGGACATCATGTACCCCACCAGGACATCATGTACCCCACCAGGACATCATGTACCCCACCAGGACATCATGTACCCCACCAGGACATCATGTATCCCCCCCAGGACATCATATACCCCACCAGGACATCATGTACCCCCCCCCCCCCCCCAGGACATCATGTACCCCCCCCCCCAGGACATCATGTACCCCCCCCCCCAGGACATCATGTACCCCCCACCCCAGGACATCATGTACCCCACCAGGACATCATATACCCCACCAGGACATCATATACCCCACCAGGACATCATATACCCCACCAGGACATCAGGTACCCCACCAGGACATCATATACCCCCCCAGGACATCATATACCCCACCAGGACATCATGTACCCCACCAGGACATCATGTACCCCACCAGGACATCATGTACCCCACCAGGACATCGTGTACCCCACCAGGACATCAAGTACTTCAACAGGACATCATTTACCCCACCAGGACATCATGTACCCCACCAGGACATCATGTACCCCACCAGGACATCATGTACCCCACCAGGACATCAGGTACACCACCAGGACATCATGTACCCCACCAGGACATCAGGTACACCACCAGGACATCATGTACCCCACCAGGACATCAGGTACACCACCAGGACATCATGTACACCACCAGGACATCATGTACCCCACCAGGACATCATGTACCCCACCAGGACATCATGTACCCCACCAGGACATCAGGTACACCACCAGGGCATAAGGTACCCCACCAGGACATCATGTACACCACCAGGACATCATGTAACCCACCACGACATCATGTACCCCACCAGGACATCATGTACACCACCAGGACATCATGTACACCACCAGGACATCATGTACCCCACCAGGACATCATGTACCCCACCAGGACATCATGTACCCCACCAGGACATCGTGTACCCCACCAGGACATCATGTACACCACCAGGACATCATGTAACCACCAGGACATCATGTACCCCACCAGGACATCATGTATCCCACCAGGACATCATGTACCCCACCAGGACATCATGTACCCCACCAGGACATTATGTACACCACCAGGACATCATGTACCCCACCAGGACATAAGGTACCCCACCAGGACATCATGTAACCCCCCCCCCCCCCAGTACATCATGTACCCCACCAGGACATCATGTACCCCACCAGGACATCATGTACCCCACCAGGACATCATGTACCCCACCAGGACATCATGTACCCCACCAGGACATCATGTACCCCACCAGGACATAAGGTACCCCACCAGGACATCATGTAACCCCCCCCCCCCCAGGACATCATTTACCCCACCAGGACATCATGTGCCCCACCAGGACATAAGGTACCCCACCAGGACATAAGGTACCCCACCAGGACATCATGTACCCCACCAGGACATAAGGTACCCCACCAGGACATAAGGTACCCCACCAGGACATAAGGTACCCCACCAGGACATAAGGTACCCCACCAGGACATAAGGTACCCCACCAGGACATCATGTACCCCACCAGGACATCATGTACCCCACCAGGACATAAGGTACCCCACCAGGATATCATGTACACCACCAGGACATCATGTACCCCACCAGGACATCATGTACCCCACCAGGACATAAGGTACCCCACCAGGACATAAGGTACCCCACCAGGACATAAGGTACACCACCAGGACATCATGTGCACCACCAGGACATCATGTACCCCACCAGGACACCAGGTACCCCACCAGGACATCATGTACACCACTAGGACATCATGTACCCTACCAGGACATCATGTACACCACCAGGACATCAGGTACACCACCAGGACATCATGTACCCCACCAGGACATCATTTACCCCACCGGGACATCATGTACCCCACCAGGACATCATGTACCCCACCAGGACATCAAGTACCCCACCAGGACATCATGTACCCCACCAGGACATCATGTACCCCACCAGGACATCATGTACCCCACCAGGACATTATGTACCCCACCAGGACATCATGTACCCCACCAGGACATCATGTACCCCACCAGGACATCATGTACCCCACCAGGACATCATGTACACCACCAGGACATCATGTACCCCACCAGGACATCAAGTACTTCAACAGGACATCATTTACCCCACCAGGACATCATGTACCCCACCAGGACATCATGTACACCACCAGGACATCAGGTACACCACCAGGACATCATGTACCCCACCAGGACATCAAGTACTTCAACAGGACATCATTTACCCCACCAGGACATCATGTACCCCACCAGGACATCATGTACACCACCAGGACATCAGGTACACCACCAGGACATCATGTACCCCACCAGGACATCATGTACCCCACCAGGACATCATGTACCCCACCAGGACATCATGTACCCCACCAGGACATCAGGTACACCACCAGGACATCATGTACCCCACCAGGACATCATGTACCCCACCAGAACATCATGTACCCTACCAGGACATCATGTAACCCACCAGGACATCATGTACCCCACCAGGACATTATGTAACCCACAAGGACATCATGTACCCCACCAGGACATCATGTACACCACCAGGACATCATGTACCCCACCAGGACATCATGTACCCCACCAGGACATCATGTACCCCACCAGGACATCACACAAGCGATAAACATCCGGTGACACAAAGTGCCACCATGCAGATGAGGATCACCCGTAGAGAGATCCCAGAAACCCATCTCAGCCGTTA